GAAGGGGACTTGACTTGGAGTGGTGAACACACAATACAGTGTACAGATGATGTATTATCAAATTGTACAACTTAAACCTATATAATTTTATTAACCAATGCCACACCAATAAGTTCAATAAAGAAGAAAAACAAAATAAATTTTTTTAAAAAGTATAAATGCAATCATTCCTTAAGTCCCCAGCCCGCTGGCCCATCTTGCAGATTTTGGACCTGCCAGACCCCCCCAGGCATGTGAGTCATTTCCTTATAAATGCATTCTACTGGCTCTGTTTCTCCGAAGACCCTACCTGACCCAGTCATAAAGCTGTAAACATGAACACACATCAATTAACTGCATAGAGAAAAACTACTGGACGTGTGGAAGATCTCAATAAAATGCAATTATAATGGGATGCTTTACTGTAATGGTATAAAATTGTGTCCCCTGGAAAAGTTACATAGCCCCCAAACAACCTTAAGCAACATATCCTCAGATCATTATCCAATACAATTAGAAATACATAATGAAAGATGACCACAAAGTCTTAATGACTCAGATAAACTGTACTATGCAAGCATTAGATTGGTGAGGAAATGAAAGGCAAAATTAGGAACCTTTCCTAATACATAGCAAAGAGGAATGTTAACTAGCAAAACCATGGGACATAGGAAAATGTCATTCAGAGGGAGACAACAAGCTTTGAGCTCCTTAGTTATTCAAGATGGAAGATGACAAAGGTTAGACTTCCTCTTAACAAATTAGAAAAAAAGAACAAAACCTAAACCAAAAGAAAAGAAATGGCATTAATAAAGATAAAAGCTGAAGTTAATGAAGCATAAAATAAAAGAAATCAAAATCTTGGAGGTTTTTTTCTTTGAAAAGACGAATGAAATGCATAAATGAGAAAGGAGATATAACAGTGGAAAATTGTAGCAGTAGGGAATTATAACCCACCCCACCATTCTTTTGACATTTTTTCTGTAAATGCTAACTCTGACTAATATGTAGCTTACAGATAAACAGCATGTTTGTATAAGAATCCAAGGAACTAACTTCAAAAGATACAAACTCCAACCTCAAGGCATCCCAGCTGGGGGGGATTTGCTGACCTTCAGCTGTGGATCCAGACTGACGTGAAGCCAGAATATCTAAACCAGGATGACGCACATCGGACCATCCCTGGCCTTCTCGGAATGCACTGTGCCTGTCTGCACATATGGAACTTTGCAACCCCCCTCCCTTGATCTCTTTGTTCTGTTCCCCTCTCCCTCCTTGTAAAAATCTCTGCCTCCACTGAGAGGTGGATATGGGCTTTGAGACATGAGTCCGCCATCTTCTCAGGAGATGGGCTTTGAGACATGAATCACCATCTTCCCAGGAGTTGATCTTTGAGACGTGAGTCCCTCACCTTCCAGGAGATGGGCTTTGAGACATAAGTCCCCATCTTCCCAGGAGATGAGCTTTGAGACGTGAGTGTCCCAACTTCCCAAGAGATGGGCTTTGAGATATGAGTCCCCCATCTTTCCAGGACATGGGCTTTGAGACATGAGTCGCCCGCCTTCCAGAAGATGGACTTTGAGGAGTCTCCTATCTTCCCAAGGGGATGGGCTTTTGAGGTGAGACCCCCATCTTCCAGAAGATGGGCTTTGAGATGTGAGCCCCCACCTTCCAGAAGATGGGCTTTGAGACATGAGTCTCCCATCTTCCCAGGATATGGACTTTGAGATGTGAGTCCCCCATGTCCCCCGGTGGCCAGCACCTGAAAATAAACCACTTTTCTTCACATCAGCACCCGCATCTCTAACATTGGCTTTTGTAGCCGCAGGCAGCGAGACATGTGTTCAGTTACAATACCATCTTACATTCTCCCCAGCAGTGTTTGAGAGTTCCAGTTCCCCCACATCTTCGCACCAGTTTGTATGGTCGTGTTCTTGGGGTTTGGGTTTTTTTGTGTGTATTTGTGCCATGCTAATAGATATTAAATATTCAGGACTTTTGAATGCTGAGTTAAACACTGCAATTATTCAAAATTAAATTATAAACTTCCACTTAAATTATATTAAAAACAAAGGAGATACTCGAAACTCATGTCTTATTTCACCTCATTTTACTGTTACCTATCACGTTCCTTTGGTGAGAATCTATGTTACAGTGTGCTACTGGGAATCTCTTCCCAACTTCACACTCACTGACATCATGTGTAGCCTGAAATTGGCCTGGTAAAGTATTTATACCATGAGAATCATCACACACTGCAAACCAAAGCTTGATCTATTATGGTTTGGTTGATTACACACACTTGAGTCTATAGTCATTCCACTGTGAATAGCAGAAAAAGAAAAGAAACAATGAAAAAGACTTTTCCAATATCAAAAAGTATTCTCCAATTCAGCAAAGGAGTCACTCATGTCACCAATGAACATGCGGAGTTCAGACATATGTCTTTGTGTTTCACTTTTGTCTTACCCATTAAGACAAACAAAAATATCAACCAACACTGATGTGGGAACCATGTTCATGCATCAGTTGCAATCCTGGGTCTGATACAGATACAAGAGTTTGGCCCCCCCCCAAAAAAAAAGTCAACAAAGGGGTTTTGTGAGAATCGATTGGCTATATGAAATTTATAAATAGTGTATATGTGATTACATATTTTGTATATATTGGAGATTTCATTATCTATAAATTGTGTGCTCACACCCTTTATATCAGTAGCATGTATAATAAACTTATGTGTTTGTGTGTATATATTTATATATACATATCTATCTATGTGCATAGAGAGAAAGAGACAGAGACGAAGACAGAGATCCAAGAAAGAGAGGTTTATATTTACTTTCCTGGAAAGCTGCTGTCAGCCATTTATCAGCACATCACTGCTTTCAGGCAGCAGTAGGGCAGGCCCCAGCCTGTCTGTGCTGCACAGGAGGCATCAAGCTTGGCCTGGACAGCTCAACCATGGGCTCGGAGAAGGCACCCAAAGCCAGGCCACGGTGAGGTCAGGAGAACCCAGAGTGGTGAGGGAGAGGCACCTGGGTCTGCAGAAGATGAGAGTGGACAGAACTGGACACCACTCTGGGGTGGTAGCAGTGGCCATGAATCGAGGTGCTGACCTGCTCGGCAGGGCCTGGAGTCCAGCCTTCCCTGGTTTGCCTGCCAAGTGAGAAGGGACCCTCTTGGCATCACGCACTCAGTGAGTGGGTGGCCTGGAGCCTGGCCAGCCTGACAAAGGGGCTCAGCCCTGCGGCCTATACTCTTGTGGTGCCCTAATTCTTTCAGCTCCTGCCGGGTCCCCGGCTCCTGACCCAAGGCCCCACCCTGTCCCAGCCTTGTGACACCCTCCCAGGTGGGTGCTCTCCTGGGGCAGGGAGCCAATTAACCCTCCTCAGGAAGCTCAGCAGTGCATGGATCACACTCCCAAACTTGTCCCTGCCGGTTTTTCCCTTATCTCGCACCCTCCCCACCCCTTCCATTCTGTCTTTGGCCAGGCCCCAACACCTTTTACTCCTTCCTCCCTCAGTTGCCTTCCTCCCCCTCCGGGTCTGCTCTAGTCCCTTTTCCACAGAGCAGCCTGAGAGGTATTGTAAAAAACAGAAACCAGATCTTGACCCTCTTCTGCTCGCAGCCCCCTGTGGCTCCCCATTGCCCTCAGGGTCATTCCGGACCCTCTGGCCTAGGGAATAAGGATGACGTGACATGGCCACTGCCTGTGATCTGGCCTCATGATTATGCCGCCTTGCACATTGTAGTGGCTCTAGTCACTTTGACCTACTTAGGATTCCCCAAACGGGCCCGGCTGGATCAAGACTCAGGCTTTGCTCCTGCGAGTCATTCTCGGGCGTGGCCATCCCACCCATCCCACCCCTTCTCACCTGCTCTCCCTGTCTCTCAGACATCCTTCCCCTGTTTTGCCCCATTGTTTAGTGACACAGGTGGGGCCCCCAGAAGCAGGTTAGCTGGCTCCCCAAGAAGTCCAGCCAAAGCAGCTGCCAAAAAGCTGCCCTCCCCACAGAGCAGCCTCCTGGCCCTCCTCAGGCCATGCCATGAGAGACATGGGCCCAGAATGGACTCCTTCCTAGCTGTCATCCTCACTGCACCAGCTACCCTACCTCTTTTACATGCCTTAGGGCAGCTCTGCAGCCCAGCCTGCTTCTGGGCAAAGCTTGGATACCCCGCCATACCCCTCCCCCTACACGCTCCAGTGGGCCCTTTGCATGTATGTCCCTGTGTGTAGCTGGGGGCCCCTCCCTTACTCTCTAGCACCCAGATTGCACCAGGTACTGTGTTTCTCTACCAACCGATCATATCATTTCATCCTGTTGCAGCCACAGAGTCTCCGGAAGACGGAGTTAACTCAGGGTCCTGCAGGGGCCGAGTGCTGGAGCTGGGCTTGTCCCCTGTGGGCTCAGCTCTCTGGACTGAGGAAGCCAGAGCTGCTTGGAGGCTGGGGCAGCAACTCCTTCTTCCATCTCCCCCCAGGGCACAGATTCGAGGCCAGAGCAGATGTCCCTAAGTCCCTGGTCACTCATTTCTTGGGTCTCTAAGGTGACAGTACGGGGAGGGGGTGATCACTGAGGCAAAGGTAGGAGACCAGCCAGGGAGGAGGCCTGTGGCTCTGGGTCCATAGCCTGTGAGCACTGACGTCTTTCCCACCCACTCCCCCACCCTTGGGCTCACCGCGGGCGGCAGCTCTGATGGGGTCCCTGCCTGTCCCTCTGGGCAGGGTATTGGGGTGTGTGACCAGAGAGTCAGCTGGTGAACAGTTGGCAATATTTATTGTGAGACAGGGTAAAGGGTGGGAGCCCGAAGCAGCAAAGTCCAGTGGGCGAGGGGTGAGGCTGTGGGGCTGGGGGGGCCAGGCAAGTGCCCGGCTACGAGGGTTGGGGCGAGGCAGCGAAGTACTGGTCCGGTTCCTGCTCCAGGCTTCAGTCCGGCTGAAAGGCCAAAGCTGGCACTGCTGGGGACACAGGAGGTGGGCCTCGTCTCCCTGGGTGGCAATGTCACCAAGCCTGCGGTGCTCAGACCCCGAGGCTTGGGCCATCAGGCGGCACGTACATGGGCTTGATGTGAGCCCAGCTGCGGGCCTGCCTGTCAGCCCAGGCAAGCAGCTCAGCAGCACGGTGCAGAAAGACCATAAGCAGAGTGTGCACATCGCCTTCAGCCGAGTGGGCTGCACTAGGCTCGGCCTGGAAGTAGCGGCGAAAGAGGCTGCCCAGGCTGTAACCCTTGCAGCCCTGGGCCCGGGTGCCGTGGCCGTGGGCATGGTCCAGGCCTCGCAGTGCTGGCAGTGTATCCAGGCAGGTGGTATCCGGGGGTAAGTGGGCACCTAGACGCTGCAGCTCCGTGCACAGCAAGGGGAAGTCATAATCAAAGCCATTGTGGGCCACGAGGCAGATGGGGCCCTCCTGGCGGCTCAGGAAGGCCTGCAGTGTCCGCACCACGGCTTCATCGAAGCCAGCCTTCCGGCACTGTGCCAGGCCCTCGATGCTCAGGCCGGTGATCTCACTGGCCTTAGAGGTGAAGGGGCGCTCTGGGCACATGCACAGCGTGAGCTTGTCCAGGATCCGGGGCAGCAGAGGGGTGCCAGCCTCATCGCACTCTGGGTTCTCCAGAGAGGAGCGGTGGACGGCAAACAGGGAGATCTCAGCAATCTCGGGGTCCACATTGGGGAGCCCAGTGGCTTCCAGGTCCAGGAAGACAAAGGTCTCAGCCCGGGGGACCGCAGACATGGCGATGTTCACACGGAGACAGTGACACCTAAAGCTGCCAGAACAAGAGGCACAGAACCTGAGGGCCAGGGATGGGGATGCCTGGGTCCAGCCACCCGCAGCCACCCCCACCACGCCTGATGGGACTTAAGGCTCTAGGAGCAATATCTCAGGCCCATATTCAGGGAGACTACTAAGGGACTGCCAGAGCTGGGGCCCGGTGACCAGCATCTGCTCCTTCTGTCCAGGGTAAGGCTTGCCTAGGGTCTCATCACCCCCTCCACTCTGGCCCCCAGTCCCTCCTTGGCCATCCCCACTACCATCTAGTAAACGGCAAAAGAAAGGCCTGATGTGCCCATACCCCTGCCCAGAGGCCTCTGCCCCCTGCCTTCGGGTCCATGTCATCGGGGACATGGGGAGGTACAGCCCAGGATGGTATCTTCACTGAGACACCGTGGCCAGGAGCCTCAGGCAAAGCAGCCCAGGTCTGCACCCCTAGGGTCAGCCGCCAGGAAACAGGCAGCTGAAAAAGCCTCACAGTCCTTCCCAGCCTCCCTGGTGCTCAAATGCTGGCCCCAACCTGGCCTCCACCTGCCTCCGGGCTCTCAGTGGCTGTCCTCGCCAACCCAGCCATGCTGGCTTACCTGGGGCAGACGCTGGCTGGCTTCCTGGGCTGCTGGGTACTTGTCTCCACACAGGCTGCTGCTCCAGGCGGCCTTTAATCAGTGGCCTTTAATCAGCAGCTATGGCCCGCCCCCAGCCGCCTGTTGGGCAACAAGAGGCCTGAGGCCGCAGGACCTGTGCGGCCGGATAAACACCCCCTTCACTCGCTCACAGCCACCGGGACACATGCCCCATGTTTACAGATTGGAAAGCAGGCTCTCAGGATCTCGACTAGCTGATAGACCACGGACGCGTCATCACAGGCACAAGGAGGAAGCCCAAGCCTTCCGCCCAGCCCTGCCTCGTCTCCGTTCGCGCTGGCCAGGCGGCAGCAGCTAGACCTGGCCGACCTGGGTTTGACGCCCAGCCCCACACTGGGATACCTCTCACAAAGGCAAGCTGCCCCTTCTCCAGGGCACACACAGTTCCCTGTCACAGGGAATCAGGCAGCCTCTCATGAGGACAAAGTGACTTTGCAGTGGTAAGCAAGCACCTGCATGCACCGTGCTCAGCCATGAAGAAGGATGCATTCTAAACATGCATCAGTATCGCCCGTGACAGACGGCAGCTCACCCGCCTTGCGTCCACGAAGGGCAAATGGTATCTGCCTCACGGGTACAATGACACATAATATCTAAGGAGCCTTTAACAGATAGCAGAGGCTTCCAGATTAAGAGGAAGGGAGGCACATGGGCTTCGGCTGAACCGATCCTTCCCCTCTGAAGAATAAGCAATGTGAGCGGTGGGGATAGGGGACTGCCTCAGCGGCACCCACAGCCTCAGGACCATGGCAGCAGGGGCAAAGCCAGCCCCTTGGATCCTGGGCTCCAGGGCCTTCCCAGCCCACTATGTTCAGTTGAGAGTGAAGGACACAGTCAAGACAGGAGGGAAGCAAGGCCATCCCTGTGGTCCAGGACGCAGGTGGCATCACCAGAGTACCTCATTCTGGAGCAAGATGTGACAGCACTTGGCCTGTAAAGTTGTTGGCACTTCTGGGCAGTGGCGACCATGAGCCTACCTGTCATCCCACCTTCCACCATCGCTGTCGGGGGGATGCCCCAGGCAGGCAGCCAGGGCCAGGGGCTCCAGGAGGAGGCAGCTTGACCAGGAGGAAGCCTGGCGCGCAGCTCCTGGCAGCCTCCAATTTGCAGCACCCAAAGGAAACTTGGGGAATCGAGGGTACAGCTGCAGGGAGCAGGGCAGAGAGGCGGTGCAACTAAGGCTGGTGGCCAGGGTGGGCCTCCCCAGCAGGCCAAGTGTTTAGAGGGAGCCCCCTTAGGCCTGACTCTGGGCTGAGGAAGCAAGGTCCCCACTAGTTGGACCTGTTCCTGTGCTGGAAAGGAGGGAGGTGGCTGTGACAGGCACACTGCTCAGGAAGATACTGGGTCACCCTGAGAAGCCCAGAGCAGCTTCCTGGACAACCAGTCAGGTCACCAGCAAGAACTCCCCTGGCTGGTACCGAGCGCTCTGAGGAGGGAAGAGAAGACATGGACCCTGCCTGCTGTATCCCAGATGTAGTGGGCACAAGGGCTGGGGCTGAGGGTCTGTGAGGAGGCCTCACATGGGATCCCAAGACTGGTCACAGGAGCGGCTGCAGCTGGGCAGGGGGCAGGCTCTGGTCGCAGGCAGCCAGGTATCATGGCAAGGTGGAGACTTCCAGCACTTGGCAGTGCCAAGTTTAACTGGACAGTGGCAGGGCAAAGCGCAAAGCAACAGGAGGGGCTAGTGCCTGGGGGCACACGGGGCATGAGAGAGGCAGGGCCCAGGTCGCCAGGACAGCAGGAGGCTCATGTGAGGTGCGGCCCAGGACTCGGGATAGCCAGGATGTGAAGAAGGAAGGACTGGGGGGCAGGCACCACGGGCCACTCAGCGCAGGCCAGACAACAGAAGAAAGGAGGCCATCACACAGAGCTATAGAAGCAAAAAGCAGGCTAGAGGCAACTTCTTCAAATCTGAGGTTTCATTTTTCTCCAGCTCACACTACCCTGCCCCACCTCTGCCCCCTCCTCCGTCCCCCTCCAAGGAACTGAAGGCCCAGACAGCTGGAGGCTGTGCCTGGAAAACATGAGGGCTGTAACAGCTTCTCCTGCTGATGGCTTGGTCTTCCCTGGCCGCGTGGCTCTTCAGGGCACAGCTTCCTGCTCCCAGGCTACTTCTGGCCTTTCTGCAGACGTTCATGGAAGACCTTGTATTTCTGGATGAGTTCTTCCATTTTGGTGGCTGCAGAGCAAACCACAGTGAGTCTAGTGCCTCCCATCCTGCTCCCCTGCACCTGGCCCTCAAGGGGCTTGCACTCGGGCGGGGGCGGCGAGGGGCTGACTCCCACAGTGAACCAGAAACTGCTGAACCAGGAGCTGTTGAGGGAGCTAGAGGCTAGAGAGCACCTCATGTTGTAGTAGAGAGGGCCACGCACAAATGGAAGGTTCCTGCCTACCCCTTGGGGGGGGGTGGTGTTGTGATATAATCAAACACAAATCAAATGGCAAGGGCCTTAGTTGTGACCAGTTGTTTTCCTTTCAGGGGTAGGAAACGCTGCCACAGTATGCACCTGCCTCTCAAGGTATCCACTTTAGATGATAACCACTGGGTGTGGAATGTGGGGACTTTAGCTCACTCCTCTCCCCCACCCTGGGTACGGGAGTTTCCTCGGCAGTGGTGCCTTAACTTAAGACACCTATTCCTTCCTCCACCAACTTGCTTCTCTGCCTCCTCGCCCATCTACATGGCAAGGTAGCTATTGGCATTTGGTCTCGCCCATCCCAAGGGTGACTCCGAAGTTCAGGAATCAAGGGGTGTGCCTCAGGGTGAGTGGCCTCGGCAGCAAGATGCTGGAGCAGGCAGACTCCTAGGAGAGCTGGGACGAAGCCTGGCCCATCCGAGACTGGTCCTGACAACCGTCCCCACTTGACATGAATGCTCTCACCAGAATCAGATTATCACCCTTCCTGTTTCGATCACAGTTCTCCACAGATGGGATTTTCCTGCATCCCTTTGGGTATCACCTGACTTCCTGGAATCCTTAAGTTTTCCCAACCTCTAAGCCCTCTGGCCCACTGCTCTCCCGGGGCCGCCCCCGCCCCAGCTGCTAAATCAGTTCCCATCCACTACCTGGCCATCTCTTGGCTGAGCTTGGTTGGCTAGGTGTCAATTCCTAGGCCAGACACCCCAGGCCCTTTCAATGTGCAAGGCATCAGCCTCTGGAGACCACAGGCTTTCTCTCTGGAAGCGCTGGGCCCCAGCCCTGCATCCCTGCTACGCCAGACATCAGAAGGCTGGGTGGGCCTGAGGACATGTCTTTTTGGTTTCATCCGCTCTGGGCTTAGAATCTGTAGACTCACCCCCTCGGCTCTGCCCACCTGTTGCTTCACTGATCCTCTGCCCTCCATTTTCCTTCCTCTTTCTCTGGAGAGCCTGTTAGCCACCTGGATGGGGCCTCTGCTTTGCTTATCTTTGTCTTCAGTTTGTTGGTCTGTTTTCTTTCTATTCTTATCGATTTGTTGCCTCATTTTATTTTCTACTCTTTCCACTGACTTTTCAACACATTGGCAAGCCTTTTTAACTTCTAGGAGTGTTTGCTTGTTTTTCTCCTCGCTGGTTTTCATTTGGGCATGATACACTAAGTCCTTGCTTCATGTTGCCAATAGGTTCGGCGAGTCGAGGTAAAGCAATGTATAATGAAACCCATTTTACCACAGGATAATGAATAAAATACCATCTCCTCAACATTCGAGCAAAAGGCCATTATTCAAGGACTTGCTGTACTACATTAAGTTTCTTAGAAAGTTCATTTCTTTGGATGATCCATTAGCCCTGCTCTTCCTGGTCTTTCTTCTCTCTTTCACGGTGCTGGCCCCACTGTGTTCTGGTGGGGCCACCATTCCCTCCAGGGTCTGCCCTCCTACCAAAGGAGCTCCTCCTGGACAGGGCAGCAGAAGCAGACAGGGGTCAGCCCTCGTGCCATGGACCCTCAGAGGCCAGAAACAGGCAGGCTTCTCCTAGGCTGCTGCCAGCCACATTAGGACCCTGGGTTTGCCATTCATTTCAATCTTTTCTTTACCAAAAAAAAAAAAAAAAAAAAGAGGAGGCTAGGGTGTCACTGGGAGCACCAACCTGTAAAGACCTGCTTTCCCTTCGCCCTCTGCTTCGGCCTACTTGCCACTGCTCCATCCCCGGGGCTGTCGGCCACATGGCCCTGTGGCTCCAGCAGGCAGATATGCTCCCCCGCTGCCGCTCAGGCTGTCCTCTTGGCTGCGGCTTTCTCCACCCCTTGCATCCATCAAATTGCCCCTGTGTACTTTCCAGCTTCCAGAAATCTGTTACTATCTCTCCCTGTTGGAGCCGTCAACTCCCCTCCCTCACTCCCAGCACCGAGAGCGTTGCTTTGTTTTCAAAAGACATTGATATTTTCCTGGCACTGGGCTCTCTGGAGGCCTGGGAAATCAAATGGGGCCTCAGGTCCATTCAACTGAGACGGTGACTGGTGAACGACGAAGGGACGAACAACCAACATAACCTGCCTACTGGCACCCAGATCAGGGGCCCAGCTTCTTATACTGGGAAGGGAAGTAGCAGAGACACACAGACCATCCTTAGTGGGAGGGCGTGAGGAGGTCATGGAGACCAAGGCCCTCGATTCTTCGGGGGGGAGCAGGGAAGGAAAATTCCCAGGCCGTTCCTCTGGCGTGTCTACAGCCCACGAACTCCTTTCAGACAAAATCAGGAAACTGCACTCATGAGAACCGAGCCCTCCAAGTAGGAGGCAGCACCACCCAACAAAGCACAGAGGAGAAGGGGCTAGAAGGGCAGGGTTCGCACAGCTTCGACAAAAGGGGCGCTTACCTAAAAGGTGAAACTTGCCACTAAGCCTGTGACTACAGGTGAGACGGCACACAGTACACAACACTCATGATCATTATATTAATGATAGCATGGATTGTAAGCATTTTATCAACAGCAATTATATACACAGGGGAGAAGAGTCAGAGTGACAGCGGTGATTAGGATAAACGTTATGATATATTTGAAAAACAGAGGATTCTCTGGCAGTTCACTGAGAAAGAAGAGAGACTCCTGAGTGCCCAGTATACATATGGCAAGTGTGTGTGCCAAAGCCAAGAGAGGTGAAAAGGCCGGCTGCCCAAGGAGAGGGCTAGCTGGAGAGGCAGCCCTCCAAAGGGAGGGCCCAGAGACCATGCAACCTAAAGCCACTCCTTGGCGGCACACTCACGGCGGGCGGAGGGGGGCGGGCAGGGGCAGTTATAGGCAAATGATTTAGTAGCTGCTGCCTGAGGTGGTAGATGAGAGTTGGGGCAAACTATAGACTAAGCAGAAAGTGAGACGAGAGGCTGGGGAATGAGATGCCCACAAGGAAATCTTAACGGCCATGTGCATGCCCGAGGCTGTGCAGATGCGCAGGGGAGACCTGAGAGGGCCCTGAGTGATCACTTCTGGCCGACCCTGAGGCTCAGAGCGAACAGGAAGTGAAGGAGAAGGAAGAATCGCCAACTGTCTGGCCGTGTGTTAATAAAACACATGAAGCCACACATCCGAGTTCAAAACACTACAAATGGGATAAACTCAAAGCAATCCACACCAAGACATATTCTAATCTAACTGTCAAAAGCCAAAGACCAAGAGAATCTTGAGAATAATAACACAGGAGGGGCCGTACAAGGAAGGGGCTTCCAGAAGAGCAATGCATACAGTTATCACCCAGTCAGGACAGCACTAGCTGTAGGCAGGAAAAGGCACGAGAAGGGTTTCTTGGCCGCTCGGCATGTTCTATTTCTCCACCTGGGTCATGGTTACACAAATATTCGCTTTAAAATCATTTGAACTAGAATAAAGGGGGTCTGCACAGGGAAAACATCCAACTATTTCATGTGTCTAGCTTTATGAGTTAAGAGTCCCCCCAAAGGCTCTATTTCGTATCAAAGAAAAAGTTTTCTCACTGTATACTTCCAAAATGAAAAAAAGCAACTTAGAAAAAAAAGTGTAACTGAAACTAAATTACGCTACATTTTTGCCCCTATCCAGTAGTGGAAATGTCAGAAGGATCAAATCTTGCACTGGCAAGGCTACAGAAGGATGGACACCGCTTGGCCTTGCAAACGGCGACAAGCCTGGCCTCACCACTGTGACCTGGGGAACCCCATCCTAAGGGCATAATCTAAGTGGCGATACACTTTATGTGTAAGCGTGTTCACTGCATCCTTTTTTAAAGACTCACAATGGGGGAATTACCTAAGTAATATGCATTCACTGGGGAACATATGAAGACTACAAAGTAGGATCAAGAAACAGAAATTAAACTGAACTGCTTCTGATTCCAACCGGGAGAAAACCAATGTCCACCTTCTGGCCCATTTCCTGCGGTTCTTCTCTATTGTTTTCCTTTAGAAAGGCAAAGTCATGCCATGTATTTCCTTTGTACTTCGCGTTTTCCCTTCAACATTCTAATACATGTTTCCTCACTGTGCCATCACCAACTTTTGAAATGATGAATAGCCCTGGCTGGTGTGGCTCAGTGGGTTGAGCGCCGGCCTGTGAATCAAGGGGTCGCCAGTTTGATTCCCAGTCAGGGCGCATGCCTGGGTTGCGGGCCAGGTCCCCAGTAGGGGGCGTGTGAGAGGCAACCACACATTGATGTTTCTCCCCTCCTTTCTCCCTCCCTTCCCCTCTAAAAATAAATAAAATCTTAAAAAAGAAAAGAAATAATGAATGCTATTTCACCATTATACATAAGCCGTTTCCACCTGAGTGTTACCCAATGTCAAAGTTTCACCTTGTTTTCAGAAAGTGGTAAGCAAATTATAGCAAATGGCCGAATGGAATAGTGTGTGACAATTAAAAATGCCACTTCAAGAACATGGGAAAATGCTTAGAATGAGGTCTAAGGGAAAGGACATAATTATATAAAAGTGTGCACATGTCATTATCACACTTAACATATATGAAGAAATTTTTTTCAAAAAAGGATGACAGGAAAAACAATAGAGGGAAACAGACCAAAATATTAACACCAACCATTTCTGGGCCACCAGGTTATGGACTGTTTTTATTTTGCCTCTGCATGTCTTTGGCTTATCTCAAATTTCTCCAGTTAATGTCCTGATTTCATAATCTGTCAAAAGCAGTTTTTCAAGGGAAGGAAAAGCTTATGCATTAGAGAAAAAAGAAAGAAGTAAGGGGCCGGTCCCTAAATATTCCCCAAATGCTGGCTGAGCACAGAAGGAACCCCGGCATGAGCCAGGAGCTAAGCCAAGGTGACAGTTCTGTCTGTGACCACTGAGTGGGAGACCACAGCTGCATAAAATGGTGACCACATACCTAGACTCATCACAGAGTGGTTGCTGCTCCAACAGATCTGCTCAACCTGCTGCTGCTTTGCCATCTGTACAGCATTTGCTGAGACGTCAGCGAGCTCCACCACGGCTTTCAACAGCTGGGGGGGGGAGGGAGGGAAGGAGGGAGGGAAATGCGTGGGCAATAAATGCCAGTGGTCTGAGCTATAAAAGGCACCTCGTGCTTCCCACCCAGGTTCACATGGAGCGTGTGATCCTCTCTAGGCTCTTAAGCCTGTGGCATTCACCCCCAAGGACATCCATGGGTGATGGCAGGACTCCCAGCTACCTGGAGAGTCGTCAATCAGAGCTCTCCAACCTAACCTCCTCCATCCTGGCCCAGCGGGGACACCACACATCACGTGCCCCATCCCACACTGGGTAGCCAAGCAAAGCCTGTGGCACTGTGGGAAAATGTCCCGTGGTGGGGAATCAATGCCCCCAAATCAAAGGGCCTTTCTGCTGGGAGAGGGCTATACCCTACCTCACCCTGTTGGCAAAGTCACAAAGGACAAGCTAACCAGAGGTTTGGAAGTCTAGGAGCCTTTCCATTAAATAACCAATATAAACGCTGTACAAGCCCCGAGCCGATGTCAGAGTTCCACGCATGGCTACTGTGCTCATAATCACAGCCAAAGTCTGCATTTAGGTTGGCTCTGGGGGTCTGAAATGTGGAACAAAATGGGTACATATTCACATAGCCGGCTCAGCAGTGTGAGACCACTTTTTCCTGTTTCTCTGAGCTGAGTCAAGTGCACAAACAGGCAAGCATCTGCCTGTCTGGCATAGTTCTTGGTCATACGCAAGAACAAACAGGCCATGATACATTCCGGTGTGTCACAAAGACAGAATGAGATCAATACAGGGACAGATGCGGGAACGAAATACTCTGTAGCCACTAAGATCATGCTTTTGGAGAAGTCAGAATGACATGCAACAATGCTCACAATAAAAATTCCAGTGAAGGAGCAAGCGTGTCATAGGCAATTAGGACGCAGTACAGGCAGCACACAAACCTCTTCCAGACCCAGGGGCTTGGCTCAGTTAACACCCACTGAAGTGCAGCGGGGCTCTCAGAGGGAGAACCCGTATCACCGCTCATCCCCTCCACGGCACAAGGAGAAGCTCCTGCCCCGACCCACCAAAGGTCCCGCCCAGGCTGAGGGCTGGAGCCTGGAGACCAGCCGTGCCACCTGCTCACAGGGAACCTGGGCCCAGTCTCTCCCAGCCCCCCGTCCCAGCTCTTGGGTCCCACGCTAGGGGCTACAGTGGGAGAGGAGAGGGTGATTCTTACCTGACGACATGACATCAGAGTCTGGTACACAGCCTGGACGATGGGGCCGCACGGGTGGAGGTAGGGGCCTGGGCGCTGGCAGCACTCACCCAGATCGTCGTCGTAGACTTGGAGGAAAGCTATGACGAGCTGGTAGAAGTCAGAGATGACCAGGCGCAGTTTCTGGTCCAGGGTGCTGGTGTCGATCCTGCTTGAAGCAGCAGCAGCCCCTTGCTTCTGCTGCGCAAAGCACTGCAAAGCCAAAGGGAGAAGGTCCCTTGATGCTGCCCTGCATGCCTATGGGGCGCCAAGTCCCTTCCACCCATCAGGGGACAGGGTCTGCTGGCCATCCCAGGCTCCCGAAAACCAGAGGACATTAAGACCAGAGGCAGAAAAGAGCAACTTTGTTCCGAGCAAAGCTGAATGGCTCCTGGCCTCAGCCCCGCCACTGCAGCCTGTGTGGGCCTCAGGGTCACACGCACGGCAGCGCAGGAAAGCCTAGAGCTCGGGGCCTGGCATGCAGTCCACCTGCCCGATCCTTTCCATTCCACAGGAAACCTCCCAGCTCCTGCCCGGGGCTTGTCTGTCTCTCCCCTTCCTGTGGGCTGAGCACCCCCTACATTCTAGAGCCCATCAGGCTCCGCACACATGCCATCTCACTGAAGCCTCACAACACGCCCATTGTGAAGGTGGGGTGCCTGAAGCCCTGGGAGCGAGCACCCTCACCTCCGTCCGCAGTGTCTGCAGCTTGGTCACGCTCTCCTGCAGCTGCTTGGCCAGCTCTATCACCTTCTCCTTCTCCAACTCCACAGGGGGGTTGGCCCTGCAGGGAGAAAAGGGGGGGCGCTCCCAGCTCTGTTCCATCTCGGGCCACGCATGAAAAGTCTGTCCTAGATCATCAAACCATGCAGGGCCCCTACCTCTGCCAGTCATTGCCTTGCTTGTCAGGGGGCTGCATGTCCAGGAGCCTTGGGTCACACTCAGGGTTCAGGAGTGTCTGCAGCTGGGAGCTGGAGTAGAGCTCCCCCAGCAGTTCCTCGTTCTTCTCCATGGTGCTCTCGAACTGCCCCTGCACACTGCAAAGGCGGCCCCAGGGCCACAGTCACACGCTGCAGCACGGCATCGAGGGACTGTGCTGGCAGCCTCGCTGACGTCCCATGTGGGAAACCCAAGAGGCCAAACAAGAACTGGCCGAGAGGCCAAGAGGAGGGGTCTCCTTCAGTTCTTGCCTGCTTTGGCAGCCAGAGCTGACGCCATGCCTCTGAGAACCCACCTGCCAGCAGGGGCAGCCCAAGCACCCACTCTCCTCAGGAGGCCCATCCCCTTCACCCCGGCAGCCCGGGACCTGGGCCGGTATGCAGCTGCAGCCGCCAGGCCGGGGAGTGAAACCCCAGCTAGAGATGTGCCTGGGGGCAGGCCCAGGTGCCCCGCAGGTCCCCGGGGCCACCCGCTCCAGTTGGAGGACCAAGGACACCTGCCGGCCATTCTGTGGAGGGCCTGTGCCGAGCCTTTACCTGGAGAAGCTGGAACATCCGACGGCCAGGCTCTGGACCACGCCCAGCAGCTGGTCCATGAAGTGCAGCTGCTTCTGGGCGCAGGCCCAGCCCTAGGCAGGAAACATCACGTGCACTCACTGGCAAGGCATGCTGGGTGTCCCCGCCGCACACCCTACCCTGCTGCAGCTAGTGGAAAGGAAAAGCCTGGACCACCCGCTCCCTAGTTCCCACTGGGCAACATCTTGGACTGGCTCAGGGACCACAGCCTCAGGGGCTATTATCATGCAGCACTCCCTGTTCCAGCCCAACCTTCGGCTGCACCGATGCCTGGGACCACAGTGGAAGCGACAAGTGTTGTATAAACATCTGGGAGTTTGTGCCCATCACACACCCAACAGTGCAGCTTCTTGGTTGGGCGTGCAGGGTGCAGGAGGGCCTGTCGAAGGCAGCAGCCCACAGGAACCTGACGGTGGCCCGTTCCTCAGGAACATCTCCAGGAGGCAGATCCCCCGCCCCAGCCGGGAACGACCAAAGCTGACTGGCACAGCAAGATGGAGCTGCGGAGGTGGCCTGCACCAACCCCACTCCTCCTCGATGGGAGAACAAGGACTTGTCCCTGACAGGCGGCATGTGGCTGGCCTTACAGCCAGGGTCCCCAAGCAGCAGCTGCCCAGCCAGGAGCTCAAGGCTTTAGGAGTACAACTCCTTCGTCCTTCCAGAAAGAGAAGGCTCGCAGCCAATCCCCAGGACCCACTTACAACCTGAGAGGCCCGGCCTGCTGCAGAGAGCCCTGTGTAAGCAAGTGGGCCAGAAAGGAAACTGGGCCCGCCGCTCCACTTTAGCTCCTCATTGCCCTGCCCTACACACCCACTATTCTGGAGAATGCGTCAGAGCAATCTGCTCAGCCAGCCTCACTGGCTACTTCCTTACTAGAAAGCCCTCCAAAAAAGCATCTGCACTTAAAGTGGGTGTGAAAGGCACAGGCTGAAGTGAAAGGGCCAAGAGGCTCCGGGTGGCATTTTAGCCCAGGTGGCCCTGGGTAGGGAGGAAATCTGAGGACAGGGATGTACTCTGTTACATGCTTGCAACTCAGCTCCCCATCCATGGGGGCGAGCCTCGTGGCTGCAGCTGCCTGGCACTCTCTGCAACGATGGCTCCCGGCTACGTGGCCATGTCTATAGGACCGGTGTCCCTGGCATCTCCACCTCCACACCCTCAGTCTGCCACGGGCTGCTCAGGCCTCATCACTACCTCCTGGTGACTCATTCTCCCAACCTGCCCACATGACGCTGAGCCCAAGTGACATACCTGAAGGGCAGCCTGAGTAGGAGGTGGGGAGGGGGAACACTGTCTAGAGAGGGGATAGCCCAGACAGCAACATGAGGAGCAACTGTCCCTGAGGACCTCACGAACTTTCACCAGCGGCCAGGGCTGGGACGCCCTACTTGCCACCCCTCCTCAGCACAGACCCAGCTCCATATAGTCCCTCCGGATGCCCAGGAAGGGGTAGGTGCTTATGCTCGGGGCTCTGCCAGCCTGGGGCGGGGCTGGCACTTTGGCACTTACCCCAGGGGGCAGTCCTGGCCTGTGTCTGCCCGTGTGCTCCCCTCGCTACAGGCCTGGCCCACAGAGCTCCTCTGTGGGTTATCAGGGCCCAGCCCCTCTAAGACCGAAGGGTCCCCAGGCCGGACTGCAGCCACCTTGCTGAAGTCCATCCATGGTCTCTAATGACCCAGGAACAGCACCAGGTAGGAGCCTCATCGCATCTGTCTCCCCCCCCTGCCATCCAGCAAGGACGAGGACACTGTGAAAGGTTTGCAGAGCAAATCCACGAAGCCCCAGAACTCCCCACGATCCAGGTCCACTCCCTCTCCTGGGCCCCACCCGAATCCCTCCATCAGCAAACCCGGTGGGCCAGCCGAATCCAGCTGCCTCCCTCACCGCCTCGGCTACAGCAGATACCCAAGCCAGCGCCCGAGTGCCTGGGCACAGCTGCAGCCTAACAACAGGTCTCTCAGGGGCTACCCGGCCACCTCCTTCACACCCGGGCCACAGCCATGTCTGTGCTACTAAACAGAAACTCTCTAGTGGCCACCCACTGCATGGAAAAGAGCACCCTGAGGCCTCCCCAAGCCTACTACGTGCCACATGGCCCAGGCCCCATCTCCACTCCGGCCAGAGCGGCCTGTTGGCTGTTTCTGGAACAGGCCAAGCACATGCCACCTCAGGGCTGTCCTCTCCCTGTTCTCGAGCCCTTCACAAATATGCTCTTCTACTTCAGCTGCACTGCTATTTTTTATTGAGATATAAAACACGCCTCATGAACTCACCCTTCTTAAGCGCACAGTTCAGTGACTGTCAGGGTAGTCACAGAGCTGTGCAGCCATCACCACTATGTAAGTCCAGAACATCTCCATCACCCCTGAAAGAAACCCCTTCCCCACCGGCAGTCACTTCCCATACCCCTCGCCCAGCCCCTGGCACCCACTGACCCCCCTTCTTTCTCTATGCTCGTGCCTCTTCTGGACATTTCACAGGAATGGGATCATACACTACGTGAGCTTCTCTCACTCAGCAGAATGTTCTCATGGTTCATTCACGTTGTAATACGTATTGGCAGTTTATTCTTTATTATTGCTGATTAGTTTATCTAGTCACCAGTTAATAAAAAGTTGGGTTCTTTCTACTGTGGGCTCTTTAGAATAGTATTTCCTCCTCACGTGCAAGTTTTTGTGTGGATATTACGTTTTCAGTTCTCCTGGCTATATAGCTAGAAGTGGAATTGCTGGGTCCTGTGGGAACTCCAGGTTTATCCTTTGGAGGAACTGCCAGTCCGTCTTCCCCAGCGGCTGTGCCATGTACATCCCCACCAGCAGTGCACGAGGGGTCCGACTTCTCACCCTCACCCATGCTGGTTGTGTTCCCTTGGTAAATTACAGCCATTCTGCTGTGGGTGGCGTGTGGTCTCAGAGAGGTTTCAATGGGCATTTCCCTGATGACTAATGATGGTGAGCATGCTTTCAGGCACCTTACTGAGCATTTGTGTATCTTCTTTGGAGAGATGTCTATTCAGATCCTTTGCCCATTTTTGCCTTGGGTTACTTGTCTTTTTATTACTGAGCTGTCACGGTTCTTTATAGATTCCGGACACTAGACCCTTACCAGATATGTGATTGATAAAGATTCTCTCTAATTCTATGGATACTTTTCAATTTTTTGATCGTGTGGTTGGAAGCACCAAAGTGTTTCATTTTAATAAGGTCCGATTGCTCTATTTTTTTCCTTCTGTGGCTTGTGCTTTTGACATCAAAATGATGACTTTTACACTTGATCTTAGCCAAAAGGCTGAATAGTAGTAAAATGACAACAAGGATATTGTTATGAACTCAGGGCTTTAGAGATACACAATAGGGTCCCAGTCTACTGTAGTCATTGTCATTGCAATGCATCCATCATCTCCACAATGTCTCCTCTTTGGCCAGTGAGGGCTTCTATTGCTGACTGGCTCCCGAGTCCTGTGGAAGGTGTTCCTGACTGAACTGGTACATTTCCTGCCCCAGGCCTGTGTTACAACTGGAGCGTCATTGTTGTTGGCCTTTTCAGGGGACAAAACAAGGAAATGCATGCATATGCATACACACGCATACACACACACACAGTTTTTAAGTTAAAACATACTAGGGGCTCACACAGCTTACAGCTGTACCTCCTTTCTCCCATGCCCCAACTCCCAACATTCACTAGTGTCAACATACATTATTATTTTCCTTTTATTTTTTATTCCATAAAATGGAATGAAGTATTAATCCATGCTCCAGCAGGGATGACCCTTGAAACGAATGTGCTAAGTGAAGAAGCCAGTCGCAAAGGGCCACATGCTGTATGACTCCATTTCTATGACACAGAAACAGCAGAGCAGGGGGTACCACGGGCTGCAGGTAATGGGGAGGGGAGAGGCTGCTTAATGGGCACGGGTCTCGTCTTAGGAAGGTGAAAATGTTCTAGAACTAGACAGAGGTGACAACTGCACAACATTAGGAATGTACTAAATGCTGTTGAACTGTCTGTTTTAAAATGGCTTAAAAATTGAGTACAGAATTTCAGTTTTGGAAGATGAAAAAAGTTCCGAAGATAGAAGGCAGTGACAGCTACACAACACTGTGAAGGTACTTAATACCACTGACTGTATACTGACAACGGTTCAGATGATAAATGTTTACGTTATTTGTATTTCTACCAAAATAAAAATATTTTTTTTTAAATAGTAGAACCCCATCAGGGCCTGCTGGGAAATATTTTTTAAATAGTTAAAGTCATAAATTTTATGCTATGTACATTTTACCACAATAAAAATAATTTTTCAAATAAAAACTAAGGGCCCTTGGCTGGCATGGCTCAGTGGATTGAGCACCGGCCTGTGAACCAAAGGGTCGCTGGTTGGATTCCCAGTCAGAGCACAGGCCTGGGTTGCGGCGGGTTCCCAGTGGGAGGCGCGAGAGGCAACCACACATTGGTGTTTCTCCCCTTCTTTCTCCCTCCCTTCCCCTCTCTAAAAATAAACAAATAAAATCTTTTCTAAAACTAAAATAAAATAAAATAAAAACTAAGGGAAGGGTTACAGCTCCAGGTAAGACGGAGGGAACACATGCCATCTTCCTCTCCCATGAAGTACCCGCATCTCAGAGCAGGACAGAATGCATGTGGCAGGTGTCTGCAGCCTCAGAAAGGTAAATGCCAGAAGGAGTTGCAGGGGAGGCACGGAAACCACGGTTACCACTCAGACTGGTGACGGTTTACTGTGTTCTCTCCTCTGCTCTCTCCGAACCTGACCTCAGCCCACCCCAATTCCAAAAGAGAGCATGGTGGTACAGACAGAGAGCTCCGGAAAAGAGAACTCCTCATGCTCAAAGAGAGTGGGAGAAATCCCTGGCCTTTTTTCTCTCCCTCTTCTCTGTTCTCTCAGACCTTGGGCGATATCATGGTGGGGGTGGTAGCACCAGCCAAAGTGTCTGACAACAGAAAACAGCAGGAGCAACACTCTGAGGGCAGGGAAACTTCCTCTCCCTTTGGTGGAGCCATGGGGCCAAATCCTACGACCCCTTCTTCCTCTCAGTCCTTCTGCTGCTACGGTGAAGTCACAGAAGTGAGTGATTTCTGGCTAAAGGACCGGAAAGGAGAGCCCAGGAGCCAGACAGTATCAAAGAGATGACAGGGAGGGAAGAGCTCAGGAAAGTGACCCCCTAAAGCTGTTCATGAACAGCTGGGCTCACTCCATCCCCACACCCATGTCAGGGTGGACCTGATCTTAATGAACATATTGAAAACTCTGATTACTAAGCCAAAGGAGAAACCAACGCCCGGGTCCCAGGCCAGCCCTCAGGTGGTGCACATGCATGACAGATCCAAATGGCACAAAGGTCTGTGGAAACTGAGCCGACACTGGGGCCACAGGCCAGAGAAGCAGGCAGAACATGCAGCTTCAAACTAACCAGGTTAGGCGCCTCCTAAAACACAAGCATTCTCCATAAAATTTAACAAGACCCAGTGTCAAAGTAATAGTCAAAATGTCTAGGACGCAATCTAAAATTACTTGGCACATGAAGAAAACCACAAAAATCTCAACTTTCATGAGAAAAGACTGTCAAAAGACATGAATGACAGAACAGCACAGATGCTGGAATAACCTGACCAATTTAAAGCAGTCATCATACAAATGCTGAAGAGCTAATGATGAACACTCTTGAAACAAAGTTAATAGAAAGCATCAGCAAGGAAACATAAAATATTAAGAAAACACACAGAAACTTTAGAACAGAAAAATAGAAAATCTGAAATTAAAAACTCACTGATGGACTCAAGAGCAAAAGGGAGGGGACAGGGGAAGGAGTCAGTGACCTTGAAAACAGTAACAGAAACTTTTCAATATGAGCAACAGAGAGAAAACATAAAACTTCCCATGTTTGGCAAAAGGTACAAACTTACAGACTTGTGAAGCTAAGCAAATGCAAACAGGACAAACCCAAAGAAATCTTCCCAGAAACACATAATCAAATGACAAAGAAAAAAATGTTAAAGTTGCAGGAGAAAAACAATGCATGACCCACAAAGGGAAAATCATTCAAATTGACTGCAGATTTGTCATTAGATCCCCTGGAGAAAGAAGAACTGCCAACCCAAAATTCTATATTCAGTCAAAAAGTATCCATCAGGAATGGAGGGGTGCTAGACATGCTCAAACAAATAAAATCTAAGAGAATATAGACCTAGCGGAACATTTCTAAAAAAAATGCTGAAGGCAATTCTGCAGATAGAAGATGATACCAGAAAGATACTTGGAAGATCACAGATGAAGGAAGAATAAAATAAAGGACAAAACCCCATGATCATCTCAGTACATGGAGAGAAAGCATTTATAAAATTCAATACCCTTTCACGATAAAAACTTAACAATGTAGGAATAGAAGGGAACATCCTCAACCTCATAAAGGACATCAATTAAAAAGAAACCCACAGTTAGCATCATCCTCAATGGTGAAGACCAAGTACCTCCCCTTAAAATCAGGAACAAGACAAGATGTCAACTTTTGCCACTTCTATTCAACATTGTACTAGAGGTGCTGGAGAGCAATTAGGTAATAAAAAGCATCCAAATTGGAAAGGCAGATGTCGAACTATATTTGCAAATAACATGATCTTGTATATAGAAAATCCTAAGTGATCCATTAAAAAATTATTAGAACTACTAAGCAAGTTTAGAAAGGTGGTAGGATACCACAGCAATATGCAAGAATCAACTGTATTTCCACACATTAGCAATAAACAATATAAAAATGAAATTAAGAAAATTTCATCTACAATAACATCATAAAGAATAAAATACTTACGAATAAATTTAACCAAAGAAGTATAAGACTTGTACACTGAAAACTACAACACATCTTTGAGAGACATTACAGAAAACCTAAATAAATAATTCATGGATGGGAAGACAATATACCATATTTTGCCATGTACGATGTGCTCTCGTGTATAATGCACACCCAAAATTTTTACCACAACTTTCAGGAAAAAAAATCTTTCATTTCAACTTTTTAACTCATTTTTTTTAATTTATATATATTTAGATACTTCTTTTTTATATTGTAAAGGAATTTTAGCATTTATTTTTTAACATATGATGGCACAAGAAATCTTACGTAACAAATCATTACAAAACACAAGAATAGATACAAGGTATTTCAGGTACTACCCATGTATAAAGTGCATCCTTACTTTTCCCTCAAAAATTTGGGCAAAAAAAAAAATGTGCATTATATATGGCAAAATATGATGGTTGATGGCAATACTCCTCAAAGTGATGTACAGATTCAGCAAAATCGCCATCAAAATCCCAGGTGGCTTTTGAGGAAACTGACAAGCTGATTCTGAAATTCATATGGAAATTCAAGAGACCCCCTAATAACCAGAACAATCTTTAAAAAGAGAAAAACTGGAAGATTCATATGTTACAGCTTACTACAAGCTACAGTAATCAAGACAGTGCAGTACCAGAATAAAGACAGGCATATAGATCAATGGATTAGAATGGAAAATCCAGAAATAAGCCCTCAGTTAAGCTGATTTTCAACAAGGATGCCAAGACAATTAATTCAATGAGGAAAAAAATGGTCTTTTCGATAAATGGTACTGGGACAAATGAACAGCCACACACAAAAGAATGAAGTTGGATGCATACATTACACCATACATAAAACTACCTCAAGACCTAACTATAAAAGCTAAGACTATGAAACTCTGAGAAGAAAACATGTGTCAATGTTCGTGACTTTGGATTTGGCAGTGGATCCTTAAATATGACACCAAGAGCACAAGCAACAAAGGAACAATTAAACTAGACTGCATCGAAACTTTATGCCCCAAAGGACGCATCAAGCGAAAAGACAATCCACAGAATGGGAGAAGATACTTGCAATTCATATATCTGATCTGACTTGTATCCGGTATATACAAAGAATTCTTATAACTCAGCAATAAAAAGACCAAAAAATCCAATTAAGAAGCGGGCAAAAGAATTGAACAAAGACATTTCTCTAAAAAAAGATCTATAAATAGCAAGAAGCACATGAAGATGCTCAACATCATTAGTCATCAGGGAAATGCAAATTATAACCACAATGAGATGAGCTAGCCCTTCACACCCAACAGGATAGTCAGAACCAAAAAGACAGCCAATAGCTAAGTGTCGGTAAGGATGTGGAGAAACTGGAACCCTCACACGTTGCTGGTGGGAATGTAAAAATGGCGCAACCACTTTGTAAAATAATTTGGTTGTTCCTCAAAACGTTAGACATCAAATTACTATATGACCCAGCAACTCCTAGCTATGTAACATTCCTCGCTACATACCCCAAAGAATTGAAAACATGTCTTCAGTCAAAATCATATACAGGAACATTCATAGCAACATTATTTATAATAGCCAAAATGTGGAAACAATTATTTCAAAAAAATTTTTTAAAGTATTAAGACTAGAGGGCAGGATTTCTTTGAATCAGCAGTGACTGTGGAGGAGGGTGTGGATTAGGGCCCCCGCTGCAGCAGGCAGCGCATGGGGGAAACGCACGGGCTCGGGAGCCACCGGTCTGGGCTGGAGGCCAGGCTCTGTCACTGGGTGACCTCAAGTGAGTTGTCACTGCTCCTGTGAAATGGAACTAAGACAAGTACTACTGCCAAGGGTAGGTGAGACACCTACTGGCGTGTACGAGGGGGTACCCCAAAAAAACCCAGAATTTATTTTTAAAAAAATGGTGTATCCATTCTCACACGTTTAAACTTCAGTCTTCAGTCACCTTCCAAGTAGTCTCCATTTGATGCGATACACCTTTCGAGACTTTTTTCCCCACTGCTCAAAACAGTTTTTGAACTCCTCGATTTTGACACCTTTTAGTGCTTCTGCCATTTTTTTATTTCACCTTTCCCACATGGGCAAAACATTTCTCTTTGAAGGCTTTTCTCATCCGGGAAAACAAAACAAACAAAAATCGCTTGGGGGCAAGATCGGGTGATTAGGGAGGGTGGGGCATGGGGGTCACGCCATTTTTGGTCAAAAACTACTGAGCACTCAGCACAGAGAGGGCAGGTGTGCTCCTAAATCACCCATCATGAAATGGGCAAACCTGCTGAAAGAGTCCTCAAAGAAAATCCACTGAAGCAGAACGCAGCCTCTCACAACAATGCCAGCTGATACACTGATGCGAATGGGTTCCTAGACCACTCACCTACTGGGGGAAGCCTGTACTACAAGAGGCTCACCCTCCAGAAGACAATTCTGGTATTTTTGGGGGTCCCCCCTCATGTAGTACTTACCACAGTGCCAGTGTGTATGAAGTCATCGACTGAGTACAAGATGCAGTCTGTCCCTGCATTTGGTCATCATAAGCCTGAGATCCACCCTGGCCTCCTCAGCAATGGCTAGACTCTACTCCAGGGAAGCCTATGGACTCCTGCCCTGGGGGGCTAGGGATCGGGGAGGCGGGAAGATGAGTGGGGACAGAGAGGGCCCTCTCTTACCTTCAGGAGCTCCTGGTCATTCGGCCCGCACAGCATCAGCTCATGGCCTAGTTTCACCATCTCTGTTGGAACACAAGGATCCTATCACTGCCGACCCCCACCTAGACAGGAGAGGACGTCGCACACCCAGGGGATGCACAAACATGCAGAGTTCCCAGCAGTTCTCTGGTAAGGGTGTTCCTGCTCCAGCGTCGGCAGGTCCAGAGCCCACAAGGCTTGGCTCGGCCTGAAGGACCGGGTGGATAAGGAAGCAGGTGGCCCACACACATAGCTGCCAAGACCGCCTCTTGCTGTGTGATCTGCATCCAGTCACTGCCCCTCTCTGGGCATCAGTTTCCTCACCTAAAAATAAGGGGTCACATCCAATGCTCTTCCATTTAGGGAACTCGGGCTTCTAAGAGAAGACAGCAGCTTCCTGAGGAGCCGACAGAGGTCAGGGAACCTTCCAAATACACAGTGTGCTGCCTTTTCAGAGACCTTATCAGGCCAAAGCAAAAGGAACCATTGCTCTCATTTGTCCACTTCTTACATATCTTTCATGTCATCATCTCCTTTCCTCTCGCCACCAACCCCAGGAGGTGAACCTTAGCTTCATTTTACAGATTGGGAAACTGAGTCCAGGGTGTCCTGGGTATCTTCTGAGGAACCATCTGGTATACAGAGAAAGGCCAAGACTTGGGGCCAGAGTGTCTGGGGCCAATGCCAGCTTCACGCTCCCCACCTAGCTCTGCGGCAATGTCCTCACCCTCACAGGCAAAGTCCATCTCCTACCCCCAAGTGCCTCAGTGGCAGAACAGGCAGAACTCTGGCATCTGCTTTGGAAGGTGTGGTGCAAGAGCAAGCAGTGCATCTACGTGAAAGCATTAGGAATCCTGGAATGCCGTACAAATGCCAGTAATACCCTCAAGCACACCTGCTCCACCCACAGCCCTTAACCCCAAATCCTCGTGTCCTCCCTGGCCGCTCTCTTGCTTAGCCCACATCCAAACCTCAGGGAGTCTGGCTGACCTTCCCTTCGCTATAGATCCAGGATCTGAACAGTGAACCCCTCCCACTCTCGTCCCCATCTCTAGCCTGGTTCACTGGAAGACCCTCTCAATGGTCTCCCTGCGTCTGCCTGGGCCTCCTATTCTCAGCGCAGTGGCCCGCAGGACCCCGCAAAACCCAAAGTGAGGCCACAACCTTCCTTGGAATGAAAGCCAATGTCCTTCCGTGGCCCACAAGGCCTGACCAGATCCGGCCCTGTCCCCCTCTGACCTCATCCCACCTTTCTTCCCTTGCTCTCCACTAGGTACCAGCCACCATGGCCTCTTCACCGTTCCTCAAAGCTGCCAGGGACACACAAGCCTACCTCAGGCCCTTTGTACTTGCTATTCTCATGCCCTGAGCGCTATTCTTCCTGGTGTCTGCCTGACTCACTTCCTCCCCTCCTGCAAGTCTCTACTTAAAAGAGAGGACTTCCCCGGCCATTGGCCATCGTATGTCAACAGTACCGCCCTTCTCCCAACTCACCCAGGCACTACTCTATCCTCACTTGTCCTTGTTTATGGCGCTTCTCACTGTCTGTACACTGAGGATCCTGCTGCCTTCTTTGTTTACCACCTGTCTCTCCCACCTAGCACCTAAGCACCGTGAGAGCAGTATAGCTCGCTGCCAGCACCCAAAAGAGCACAGGGTGCATAGTAGGTGCTCCATAAGAACTTGTCAAATGAATCTGCGATTCTAATCTCCCTCTTTGTCCCATTTTCTCCCATTTATACTCCTTAACAAGCATTCATGTCTACCACCTGCTTCAATAGTCAGCACACTCCCACAAGGTGGGCAAGGCTGAGGTTATCACCCATACCTGACCGAAGAGGAAACTGAGGCTGGGAATGGCAAGGTCAAGGCTGTGGCTGGGCTGAGGGCCAAGGTCAGCACCTGTATATGCATGAGTGTTAAAGAACTCAGCCCTGGCTGGTGTGGCTCAGTGGACTGGGTGCCAGCCTGTGAACCAAAGGGTTGCTGGTTTGATTCCCGGCTGGGGCACATGCCTGGGTTACGAGCCAGGTCCCCCATGGGGGGCGTGTGAAAGGCAACCACATGATGTTTCTCTCTGTGTCTTTCTCCCTCCCTACTCTCTCTCTAAAAAATAAATAAATAAAAATTTTTAAAAAAGATTTCAGGTGCTGTCTGATGGCCAGGTTTACCCGGTTTGGACATGGACCTATCAGTAGGAAAATACCGGCAGTACCGGACATAGGACTCATCGCACTCAGCAGAAGGCCCCCGCGCTCCTTTGTAGCCTGGACCAGCCCACAGGCCAGCCCCGCAGGCTCCCATACACAATGCCCTGTTCTCCTGGCCTATCTGGGCCTCAGAGACGACTGTCCCCAGTTAATTAATTTGGCAGTGCCAGCTAGGGCATGGATCAGGACTCCAGGGTCCAGTTTACTCGATCCTCGGGTGGTTGGGCCAAATGCAGGCCCATGGAAATTTCAACTTTTGGAGATAGATACCATTGTGAAGGCCAAGAGTTAGCCACCATCTTGAGGACTGCAATTTGCTCCCCTTTATCTAACAATGACCATGACTGGGTTAAAGACAGTTTCTGCCAAGAACTGAAAAAAAAGTGGTTCCAAGACAAGGCCTCGTGGAGAGCTACCTGGTGTGCTCCCAGAACACCGGCTGTAGTGTACACCTGCACACACCAGTGACACAGGGACAGAACCACCACTGGCATCCACAAGAACTATTGTCTCTGCCCACAGTGCCTCATGGGGTGGGCTGGCAGGGAGACAGGCTCTTGGTCTTATTCACATGCCCCTACAAGAGTAGCTCTCCCACTCACCACACCAGTGGGGGAGGGAGCCTGGTTCTAGAAGGTTCTAGCAGTATCTACAGGGTGTGCACCATCTAGAAGAAAACACCAGTCCAATGGGAAATTCACAACTCACTAAGGAGACAATGCACAAGTTCAGAATAGCCCAGAACCCACCACCCAACTCCAAACTCCCCTAACACAGACCCACCTTGGATCTTCAGCTCGGCTGAGGCCCCCTTCAGCAAGCAGAACCTGTCTTGCCAGGAGGGACAGGCCCTGCAGGAAAAGAGCAAGACCAGTCAGGGCTGATCAGGCTAAAAGGCCCCTCATGACCCCACCTTATCCGAACTCTAAAAAGTGAATTACTTGTGTATGTGCTACACGCCATTGAGATGTTCACTTTAAATTGGATAATTTTATGTGATGCAAATTTCCACGCCATAAATTAGCAGTTTCAATTATAAATATTTCTGAAAGTTTACCTCAGGTATATGAATCTGAAAACTAAAATTAAAATTCTCACAATAAAATAAATAAATAAAATGACTGCCCCAGAAAACAAAACGAAATTCCCCAGAGCTCTAGCTCTTTCTCAGAAGGAAACAAGGGGCCAGCTTCTTCTTTATCATGGCACAGGTTTGTTTGGAGGATGTCCCGAGACAGCCCTTCCAGCTCTGGCATCCTTGCGGGTCATCCTCCTGCACCTCTCTCCGCAGTGTCTGCTCTTCTCGGCCTCTCTGCTGGAGCACACCGAGTCGGCTCCACTCATCCCTTGACGCCCATGGCTGATGTCATCGCCCGCCCCCAGGAAGCAACGCTGGCATCCCTCCATCACAGCGGGGCCTGGGCACTGCCCACCACTGGGCGCTCGTCCCCCGACTCTGGGCTCGCCAAGGCCGGCAGCCGGCTTTCCATCAAGTATTTCTAGGGCCTAACATGGCAGGCAGCACAGAAAAGGCAGTCAGTCAGTGAGCGTTTATAAACAAGTGACCATGGCCTCTTGCCACAGAATAACCTGCCATCAGTAAATGTCCACACTTAGCTCTTTCAGCAGAGGAACATTGTCTACTTTTTAAAAAGCAAAAATCAGCAGGGGGTTAATCTACTCCAGGTCACAGCTCTAAGCCATTTGGAAGCTCCCAGTGTCATGGGCTGTGGGGTCATAGCCCCATCCTCCTCAGTGCGGAAACTGCAATCCCAGCTGCCCTATCTTGGCCTAGTGGAGCCCCGGCCTTGATGACACCACGTGGATAAATGAAACAGTGGCCAGTTATGAGCATCGTGCCTTAAGATGCCGAGCTGATGGGCAGAACCCTTTCCAGACACAGGCTGCATCCCAAGGCAGTAAGGGCCGCAGAAGCCTGACAGACATCACAAGTCGCACGCAGCTCGGGCCTCCCGCTGGGCCTCCTCTGTTAGGGGGCACAGTCTGAGCTCCAGCTGCTCAGGCCAATGCCTGTTTGCCCGGGAGCCCCAGGAGCTGGCTGCGATGGTGGGCCCAGCCTCCATAAGGACAAGAGGCTCTTTTCACATGATGGTAGGTTCCGGGGGTTCCATCTTACCATCGAGGTCCCAAGGGACCTCCAACTCAGCATGGTGAGAAGGTGTGGTGACTGTCCCATTGAGAGGGCTCGCTGCTCCTTCCCCGGGGCCATGCCTCCTCATGCCTGTGTCCCAGGCCACACTTGCCCTGACCACACTGGGGCCCCAAGAGCTAGCGGGGCCAACCCAGGCCTGGCCCAGGGCCTCACACTGCAGAACTGCAGTTAGAGAGGGAGCTGGACCCGGCAGCCTCAGCTACTCAGCCTCACAGCCTGTCTTCGTGACTCATTAAGGCAACCTCTCCCCCACCCCCACCGCCACCCCACTCCATCCGCATTCTGCCGAAGAGGGCAGGGGCAGAAAGGGCAGGAGAAGAAAGAGCCCCAACATATGAAATGCTAGGAGGCTGGCTCCTGGGCCTCCTTGCTGGGCAATGTTCCCAACTCACAAGGCACCAAGCAGCGGAGAGCACTCAGCAATCCATCAGGCTGAACCACAGCAAACCACTTCAACACGCTAAAGAACAAATCCACAAAAGCCTAAGTGACCTCGCTCAGAAAGGGCTTTCATTAAAGTTGATTTTCCTGGAGCAGCAGGGAACAGAACGGAAACGAACAGCGTTCAAAGCCTTGAAAGCAAGTACAGTCCTTTGGGAGCCAAGGAAACCCATGTTCCTTGAACTCAGCTACCCAGGGGACCCCTGTGGCCCTGCTCCCCTCCTGCACTGAGGGCCAGCTCGGCATACGGACCACCAAGAGCCACCACACTGAACTCCCCAGCCAATGCTGGGTGCAGCCTCCAGGTCCTGCCGAGAGGGGCGAACACGGTTGCCCTAGACAAGGGCCGAAATGGTGAAGTCACGTGCAAAGAAAGCCAGCATGAACTTGAGGGGAAACTGAACTCTGTCCAATCCTCTTTTCAGGCCCTTGAAAAAAAACCACAGCAGTTTTCCCAGCTTGGGATCATAAAAAGGGTTAGGTTTTTAATACTTAAAAAGGTACTAAAAACATTTGAAGAATGCAGCGGTAGACAGCCCCCCTGCACCCCGCACCGTGCCTCTCTAGGCAGCAGAGCAGCCCAGTCCCAGCTTCCCTCTGGTCTGGCAGATCTGGGCTCCCTCCCACAAGAGCTTCTCCAAGCCATAGCTTTGGCCTCCTCCTCCTCCTGGGAATGAGCTCAAGACTTCTGCGCTAGCCCAGGCTATCCCTGGTACTCCCGGACAAGATGCTGGTCCCTCAAGGGCTTACAATGGCTGTCCTGTGAGCCATCTACCATTCTGAGCCCAGGATCCTGCCAACTTTCCCTAGGGCTGTTGCTACACCTTCCATATTGGTCTCCCTGCCTCTGGCCTCTCCCCTCCAAATCCATCTGCCACAGAACCCCTAAGTCACCTTGCTAAAATGCCAATCTGTCTGGCGCTTCCCTGGTCCCATGCTCTTCCTACCCAGAGCACAAAGTTTAAAAGCCTCACATGGCTTGCGAGGCTCCACATGAGATGCCCCGGGCTGCCATTCAAGGCCACTCTTGCCTGGCTCTCCCTCCCACACCTCGACTCCTTGGTCCTGTTGAAACAAGCACCTCTCAGATCAAATGCCACCTCCTCCCTGACAATGTCCACAGCACTCAGACTGCAGAGGTGTACCCAACACCAGGATCCGTGCCTGAGCCTTTGGCGGCCACTAAAGCCCCAGCTCCTTGAGAGCACCCATCCATGTCTGAGGCGCCTGGAATGGCACAGGTGTGCATGTATCCATGGGCCTGCCCGTCAGTACAACGCTGCTGCGGCCTGGGGCTGACGGGGGAACCCTGCTGGGCGCCTGCCCTCCAGCAGCCGGACAGGACAAAGACAAAACCAACAGGCCGAAGGCTGCGGCAGGAATGTGCTTAAAGGTTGCGTGCATCCAGGGGAAGGAGGAATACGTTTTGCCCTGGGAGTGGAGACATTTTAAAAGGAGGTGAGACGTGTGACCTGGGTCTTTGAAGGCTGTATCAGAGTATGAGCAACACGCGAAGATCTGAAGGGCATCTCCAGGAGGGAAAACAAGATCAGCGAGAACAAAAGGTTCTATGAGTGCTGGTGTGCCAAGGCCTGTGGTAGAATCTGAAGAAGGGCAGCAGGAGAGGCTTAAACATGAAAACGCCTCTTCCTTCCTCCCAGCCGTCCCTCGGACACCCAGCTCAGGGCCACGTCTGCTGACGTCCTGTGGCCCTGAAGGTTCACCAGCTGGGTGCGGGCTCGACCCTCAACCCTGCACTGCTAGGCTCCTGCCCAGGCATCGTCTTCAGCTGCAAGGGCAGGATGGCCAGTGTGAAGGGGGGCAGACCCAGGCCTAAGCTCACAGAAGACTCCTTTACCACCAAGCACTGGTGCTCCAGACCAGGGCCCTGGTCTCACGTCCAAAAGCACAGGGCCCGTCTTCCCCACCAGAGCCTTAAGACAGATGCTCAGCTCAGGGGCTGCTGCTCCCAAGAAACAGACATTCTGTGGCCTTTCTGGATCTCTCCCCTTGCTGCCTGGGCAGGTTCTGCTACCTTTACACAGTGCCAAGCACATACACCAGGCTGCACCCTGACCTGAAGGACTGGGGTCTTGGCCCTGCTTGTCACTCCTCAGCAGCAAGACCCGAGACAGTTATAACTCCATCCGGACCCTCAGCTTCCCAAGGACTGACGTAAGTAGATCATTTATCAGGCCCCTGCTAGTCCTGAAATCAGTAGTTAGAGCAAAAAAAAAAAAAAATCTCAGAGGCCAAGCTGAGCACTTCAGCCAGGTGGTGAATGGACTCCCTGAAGCAATACTGAAGGATACTTTCACTCCAAATTTGACCATGGCTGCTTAACTGGCACTTCTTACCTCAGAAGCTGCTGTCACAATGACCTGGGGTAGGGTACAGAGCCCTCTGAGAGGACAGCTACTTATAAACAGAATAAACCCCATCTTGCCCAGGTGGGCTGAGTGGCACCAAGTGTGCCCCCGAAATGGCGGAGGAAGAAAAAACTCCGTTACCGTATATACATCCACTCCAGGATATCCAAGCGGTACTTCGAGGGGCTACACAGCAGTTCCTGAATGGTCTTTGGTTCTGTGATATAAAGACCCTGGAGGAAGGGGCAGTTGAGGTCCTAAAGCAAGGAAAGGGAAAGGCAGGAAGCTTTAGACAGCAAGAATCAACAAAGGGCTACAATACACTTCTGCACTCCGGCCCTTACTGCTCCTTCACATATGTTTACTGATGCCAGGGACAGAGCAGGCTTGTCAGAGGGCACTTACTACTGCTGCCCACAGGCACACTGCCCATTCCCACTGTGTGCACCCTGCAGCCCTCAGCACACTCCCCTCCATCTTTCCTAGGGGTAAATTTCCCTCATTCTCAGCCCCATCTACGACAGCCTGCCAACCCATCTCCTTAACATAGGCTCCCCTCTGGGCTCTTCGTAGCAATTTGACCTAGTAGCAACTAGGGGCTTTAGCTAGATTATCAGAAGCCAAATGCAGGCTACTAGCTATAGGAGTAAAGGGACAGGGAGCGGGATGGGTGCCAAAGGGAATTCTCCGGGAGGGGAGGGGAGGGGAGGGGAGGGGAGGGGAGGGGAGGGAGGGAGGGGAGGGAGGGGGAGGAGGAGAGAGGAAGGAAGGAGACAGAGGGGAGGGGAGAAAGGCTAGGAGGGAAGGGGACGAAAGGGGAGGAGGGGGCCAGGTGGAGGGGAGGGGAGAGGGGCGGGGCGTGCGGGAGAGCGGAACCCGGGACACTACCCTACCCTGGGGGCAGAATTCCTCACTACTGCCACCCCTGGCCGGTAACGATGATTGGCCTGGGGCACGAACTCCACCCGCCTGTCTCTCCCAGGCCCCGCGAGTTCCTTGAAACCAAGGGTCTGTGCCCTCCGCAACTCTGCACTTTCCTCGCGAGCCCAGCCAGGTCTTGGAAGGTTTCGGGCAACAGGAGTTAAGGTGCAGTACACTCGCGGCGCCGGCCAGAACTACCAAGCACTGGCCGTGGGGACAGCAAGAGCAGAACCTCGGGCCTCCCACAGAGCAGATACGGACGCCCCACAAGGCGCCCCTGCAGGGGGACGCGGGACGCAGCCGGGAGAGGAGACAGGGGCAATGCGCACGGTGCCGCCGACTTCCTCTAGTGGCCCCGCCCGCCCGCCGCTCGGCCCCGCTGCCCCGGGTGGCTCCCTGGGGTCGCAGCACCTTTAGTTTCGCAAACACCGCCACGGCCGCCTTGAGCACGCTGTCGTCGTTCTGCTCCCCGTAGTGGCTGCAGCCTTCGCCAGCATCCAGCCCGGCCATGTTTCCCGCTCTGAGCCACGCCCTACCCACGCCTCACAGACGCCCGGGATTCACGGGCCGGCCCCGCTGCCAATCACGCACTAGCCAGCACTCCAGACTCCCACCCTCCAGAGCTGAGGTGGGGGCAAAGGCGGAGCTCTCCATCGCGCCTTCCCATTGGGTCGGGGATCGTCACGCTCTTAACCACCACCCGAGAGGCAGACTGCACCGAGTGGGGCGGGTCCAGAGCCGCTGTCGTTGCTCCGGCCGGCGATCCGATCGAGGACGCCTCCTGGAGAGCCTCCTCCAGGAGAGGGCGCTCCTTGCTTGGGTTCTCTCTGGGAGGATGAAGGGGAGCTATGGGGACTGGATGGAATTGGGACTTGTGTCCCATCTCCCAGTGCGAGGCTCTATAGGCGATAGACCCCACCAGTCCCTAGCCCTGTGATTTGGGACGGGTTACCTAACTGTTTGGGGGCCTCCTTGTCCTCACCTAATGGGGATAATGAGAGCGCTTACCTCACTGTCTTGCTGTAAGGAGGATGGAATGAGGTAGTAAGTCCTATGAAATAACCAGGACAATGCCTGGCACATAAAAAGAACTACGTATCCACGGCAAGTGTGGCTCAGTGGACTGAGCACCGGCCTGTGTACTGAAAGGTCACCGGTTCAATTCCCTGTCAGGGCACATGCCTGGGTCGGGGACATGAGTGAGGCAACTGATTAATGTTTCTCTTTCTTTCTCCCTTCCCCTCGCTCTGAAAATAAGTAAATAAAATCTTTTTTACAAAGCACTGTGTAAAAATAAAATTCACTATTATTATGCTGGGCTCTGCTACTTCCCACTCCTTCTCCCCCAACCAGTCTTCGAACTTCATGAAAGGTCCTGTGGCTCCTTTCTGCCCTGTCCGCTTACAAATTTCTTTATGTCTCTCAGGCCCTTCAAACTCAATGAGTCTGGAATGAGTCAGCCATTCCTTCTCCCAGACTTCCAAAGCCTCCAGCTCAGCGAATGTCCATATCCCCAGAACCTACTGATCAGATTAGGTGGGAAGGAGCTGGAGGGTGACTGGTACCCGGCGAGTGGGGAGCCAGTGGCAGGCAGCCACTGGCAGCCTTCCTCTATCCCTCCTCTGTGCCTCCTTTAACTCCTGGAGGGTGGGATCAGGGGTCGAGTGTAGAAGCAGGGAGACCTAGGGACCCGGCAAGAAGCAACTACAGTCGGCTGAATGACAGGAGAGGACTCAGCTCTGCCTGAGAGGAGGGGTGGGCAGGAATCCGGGCTAACAGGAAGGGACTACAGCCTGGCCTTCTGGGGTAGGGCCTGATGCCCTACTGAATGGTTTGTCATTCCAAGCTATTCTGAGGACACAGAGCTTTGGAACTTGAGCTGAAGGGACAGCCCTGGCCCAGGGGCCCAGGGACCCAATGGCATACAAAGTTTCTTAACACCCCCTCCCCCACCCATGTGGCTGCTGCCTTGGACCCTTCTGACAGCTGAGGGCTGTAGGGGCTTTGGGTTGTTTTTTTTACAATCTTCTTTCTCTTTTTCTATTTCTTTTTGTTTTTCTTTCTTCTTTAAAAATTTCATTTCACTCACAGCCCCAGCTCAGACGTTCAAATTTTTGTGGGTTTTTTCTGTGGATCTTTCCTAGGACTGGGGAATTTGGCGGGAGAAACCACGGCAGTGTGGTGGCCTCCCTCACCCTCCCCATATCCTCTGCTCCTGAGGATCAGGAAGAAACCAGCCCCTGTGTATTCTGGAAGAAAATTCCCCTTCTCCACCCAGCCCAGTGGAGCCAGTACTCTAAGCGGCCCTTTTCCAACTCAGCAGCTCTGTCTATGGCAGAGGGTGGGACGAAGAGGGGTTGGCAGAGCCTTGAGGGGAGACCACCTCAAGGGATCATGGGTCCATTCTCCTACATGGAGGACCTGCTGGCCAGCCTTCAACCCATGGAGATGGCTGCTGAGGATGCAGCAGCGGGCTGTAGCTTCCCTGCCCACACCACCCCCCCTAATCATGGCGCCTCCCAGGCACTCTCCACTGGAAAAGCTGGAGGCTGGGATCGGAACAGAGACTCCTGGGCCTCTCGGGGAGAGTGGGAAGAAAGAGCTGAGCGGCATAAGCTTCTGGAAATGTGGGCTCAAGCTCAATATTAAGGAAGTACTTCTCCCAGAGGGCACTGTCTAAACACTAGCTTGCTGCCAGAAAAGGGAGGGAGCCCCCTGTCTTGGGGAGTATGCAAGCCTGGGGAGACAAGGAGGGATGTGGCGGGGTGGGTTGCTACCGTGAAGGGGCATTCCTGCCCAGGGCTCCTGGGTTCTTTGAGGGAGACCTGTACAGGTCAGGGGCTGAAAATGGGGCTGAAGGACCCACCCATCTACCCAGGGGAGGGGGTCTTGTGCAGAGGTCTGGGGAGGATCGGTGGAGACTGTAGGGCCCTGGGAAGATCCGAGCACCGCACGCAGCAAGAGCCAACCTCCTGATCATGGAGGAAACTTGGCCATGGATCCCAGCAGGGCCCCAGCCGTATGTCAGTGCTTGGAAAACAGGTTGGAAAATTAGGCCAGTTGAGAGGCACTGACCCTATTGGGCCACGGATAGGCTGGCGGGCAGTGGAGGCCAAGGCAGCCGCCACATGAAGCACCTCACTCAGTGCAGCGGGCACAGAAATGTATAGCCAGCCAAGCAGCTTTACCCAATGGCCTCCCTGCCCCGGAGCAGCGGGCTGTCAGTGGCAGCTATGCAGGGCACTGGCAAGAGGAAGGGCCCAGAGAGCATGTCAACGCCACTGTCCCAACTGCCTTGAGCAGCAGACCCCAGGGTATGGGGCAAATCTTAATCAGGTGCCCCCTCACAGACACCACCAATCAAATCTGAAGTTCAGTGGTTTACCTCTCCACAAAGGAAGAGAAGACATTGTCATCTGCTGCATCCAACAGGGATGAAGGCCTTGTCCCACGGACTGTATCAACCTCTGCCCCAAGAAAGGGGGAGCCTTTGAGGGACAGAGGCTCCCTCCAGCCTATCTCACCCCTGAGATTCTCCAGTAAGAGAGAGAGAGATCAAAGGACTTCTCACCATGTCCCCGGGTGAGCATCAAAGGCAGGCTCTTGAAGCAAAGGCAAGCGGGTGTGTGTGGTGTGTGATATTTCAGGGGAAGAATTCAGTACTGGGAGGAGGGATGAACATGAAAGTGAGGGGCCTTTGCCTATGAGATGGGAAAGAGGCTCAAGGCTACAGGGACCCCAAACTTTGACATGGGCAATGAGCCAAAGGGTTCCCAGAGCAAGAATGATGCTGACTTGCAGCAGGTGGCTGTCATTTACCTACCCCAAGTTCCCTGGGGACTGGCCTGACCAAGCCCAAGGTATTGGGATGGCATAAGTCTGGAGGGTTCCAGATACGGCGCTGCGGGCCTGACAGATGTGGGCCTGCCGTGAGTGCAGGCTCGGGGGAGGCTAGTGGTCTCTGGGCCTGGCGCCCAATGAATGGCACTGTCAACCTAGGAGCTGACTGATGACTGCCAATTCTAGAGTGCTCTCATTCTACGCCTGTGTCCATACTGGGAGTCTATTGCACATGAGGATGGAGATGATGCATTGGGACCTTGGCCTCTTCTTCCTGTCACTTCTGGTCCCTATGCTGGGGCAGGGCCTTTGGCAACCACAGGCAAGGGCAGCTGGAGAGCCAGCCCTTGAGAGGGGCAGGTGATTCCCTGCTCATATGGGACACCTAGGCAGTGCTGCCCTCACGTACTGTCAAACCTGGCTCTGCCCGGGGCTTCCTGCTTTAGAGCCGCACCCCCACTCCCTAGATGCCACCAATTGCCAGGACACAAGCTCCTACAAGAGCACATTTTGCTCTGGCTGGTGTGGCTCAGTGCATTGAGTGCCCGCCTGCAAACCGAAGGTTACCAGTTCGATTCCCAGTCAGGGCACATGCATGGGTTGCAGGCCAGGCCCCCAACTGGGGATGAGCAAGAGGGAACAGATTGATGTTTCTTGACCTCTCGTTTTCCCTCCCTTCCCTTCTCTCTAAAAGTAAATAAATATAACCTTTTTTCTTTTCTTCTTTTTTTAAAAAAAGCACATTTCTCCTGCCCAAGACCCCGATCAGATCCCAGCCCACTCCTCTGTCCTCCAAGGGTAAATCTTGCTTGAGGTCTGAAGTGTTTGTAGGGCTGTGGACAGAGCCATGCTGTGTGCACCAGGTGTACCCACAAGTGAGCTCCCAGTGGAGCCAGGGGTGGAACCTACATGGATGAGCGGAGAGGCCGGGGCTGGGGTCTTCACTTGTCCTCTTGCTCCAGGCCCCACACACGGCTGGGCCAGGGGGTTGGGAAGGAGGCAGGCGGGGTCCCTATGGGCTTTTGGGTTCCCAGCTTGTGCCGTCTCCCTCCACGTTTGCAGGAGTCCAGGCAGCCGCTCGAGGTGCGGTGAGGAGTGGGAGAGTAGCATGTGTATGGGTGGGCGGGGGGGGGGGGCTCAGCCTCCCCCAGGCGGCGGGAGAGGAAATAGCAGGCGGGATGGCCCCCTCCGCAGGGAGACACTCGGGTCTAGACGGCTTGGCAAGGCCGGCAGGGCTGAGTCACATGTGTCTGGAGCTGGAGACACGGGAGCCAGGACGGGAACATGAACGTGCCCGCTAGGGAGGGCTGGGTGGGGGAGGGGGCGCTCAACCTCCTTCTGGCTCCCTTGCCCTCAGCCCAGCAGGAGCCCCATTTCTGCTCAGCCTCTGTCTTCTGCCTGAGGCCCCTCGAGGCCCACCTGGAGGGGCAAGGGAAGCTTCCACAGGGAGTCAAGCAGGGCCCGCGTTATTGGCAGGGCCCAACTGGAATTTCAGACAGGGAAGGGGTTGGTAAAGTGATTCCCCACGTGCCACCATCTCAGTCATGGCTTCGACCCAGCCGCATCCCCCACCCGGACCCTTTTTTTCCCAAAGCCACCCTTGCTGCACTCTGCCCTCTCCTTCCACCTTCCACTGTCGCCCTCCCCAGAGACGCCCGCACCTCGGCAGCTGGAGGCCTTGCTCCTCGCTCCCTG